CGATCTGAAGACTCATCTATAGCTCTTCCACCATGACGGGACATGTACCTCCAAGCAGGACAGTGGCATGCAGTGACTGCAACTAACTGCTTGGAACGTGCGACACCGAACCGGCTACGTCGATGCATCGACGCTTCGGTCGGCGCCTCCGGCGTCGAGGACTGTGGCATCATCCTCATCCGTCTCCTTGGAGTAGCCCTCAGCCGACCGTGTGAAGCACATGGCAGGTTTCCGGACGCACCACTTTGGAGGCCCCAAGGTTCTATGGAATTCAAGACGGAGCGAACGCCAAAACAGAAGGGTCTACCGAGGCCCGGTTTCTCTTCACACAGATGTCAGGGACTCATGTGATGCGTCCCATGGGTGACACATGAAGAGAGTGGTGGAGCATGAAGAGGAGTTGTTCGCTTTTAAGGGAGGTGTTTCACCGGTTTGTTGGAACAGATCCTACTTCTCTCCTCAAACACGTCCGTACCGCCCCCAAAGTACTCTCGCCATATCTCGCCCAGTTGCAGCTGACTCAAGGTCATCCAGCAAAGGATCCTCGGAACCAAGAGAACTGACTCCTCCCCTTTGCTCACCCAAATGAAGAAAAACACCATGTTTAAGGAAGGGTCGTGTTATATAATTGTCCTTCTGCGTTTGATGTTTATTTTTACAGAATCCCGCTCGATATTTTTACGTTTTTTTGGTTGTTTTTCTTTGATTATGTTTCTTGGACTTCCTCCACCGGTGAAGGGCCAAAGGCCGATACCGTACGGACCCATGACATGCATGATTGACCGGTGACCGATGCCCAGGGAAGCGGAAGTCCGGGGAGATCGGGGGTTCCCAGGTCTCTTCCTCATCCTTTAGCTCCAGCAATCTGACAGCACCATCGGGCAAGAAACCCAAACAACGGCTTGACATAGATTGACCCAAAAAAGGCAAGGAAAGAACAGGCCTCCCCCCCAAAAAGCTTTCTACGATTCTACAGGTAACTATGTGCTGCCCTACTGCCCTGTCCACATTGCACTCTCTCTCACCTTCCTTCTTCTCCAAGACTCTCTCTCATCCTTGAACGGCGGCCCTGGTGGACCCGGTGGTCGGGACCCTCCGGGCAGCATCTGCCCGTTGAGGTACGGCGCCGTGACCGGCCGCGCCATCTGGTTGGGCGGCCGCGGCGCCGCGCCGGCCGCGCCGGCCGCGGCGACCGCGGGCGGGCGGGTCTCCAGGGCCTGGGGCACGTTGCCCAAGGGCTGGGTTTGCATGCTGGCGGTGTAGGGGTCCACCTGGGCGAACGGGAGCAAGGGCAGTGACCAAGTGGAAGAGATCTTGAGAGACAGTCGGGCAAGGTGATACTGGAGGGTGTGGAGGAGCGATGTCAAGGCGTTCATGTTAGGTTAGATGTCCGCAAGAACATGCTCTCACAACTGACGGATCTCTCTGCATGCGGTCTTTTTCACATGCTGCTTTTAGCTGCAGTGGTGCTTGCGACCACAATACATTTCCAAAGGCCTGCTGTTGCCGACGGATGCATCTCTGATCCACTCCAGCATGTACTAATCAGTCCTGCAGAATGGAGAATGCTCAGAATGCCGTCCATCAAGGATCCCTTTTCTACATTGAATTGGGTGTTTGAAGGATCATCGAACATGGCACCAGCTTCAGGCATTGTTCAAAAGGCCGCAGGGTCACAGCCGCGGCATGGAACCATCCAAAACTCGCTCTATCCAAAAGGGCTCCGCTGTACCGGTTCAGCGACCTGAGGGAATTTCTGGAGCACTTCTTAGGGCCGAGCACGTGGCGAAAACACTGGGTCTGATCTTTGTGGAGCACTGCCCCTGGCCGAACCCTCACTGATGGAGGACTCACTCACTTGTCCCAGATTCGAAGGGACTGAACCCCGGAAGGTTCGCAACCCTTTTACCTACGTGGCATTGGCATGCATTGGCTATCTTTTCTTGCGATGGTTCATTGACCCAAGACAAACATGGCAGGAACATGGTTCATATTTATTGCAAACCAAAAGAAACTTGGGCACATCCAGCCACGGACAGTTCTCTTCACACAAAGATCCAAAGATCAATTATCAAAGATCTTGCCCATTTCAACTGCTCGAATCCCCTCATATCTCTTTGCAAGCGGGTCCACAAGCAAGCAAGGCATACAAGCCAGCAAAGTCTGCACATGTGGTCTGTGGTTGGTTCCAACGCATGGTGAAAAGCACTCACTCTTCCCCCAAAACCAATGGTGGTATCAAACCCCAGACCTTCTCAGCGTTTCTTCAAACCAACCAAGATCTTGCACCGCCTTCCTATTCTTCTCCGAGTCAATCTGAGCAATTATCAAATGGTCTGGGTCACCAAGATTTGGATATCCTTGCCAAGGAGGCCGGGGCTATGTGCTATTGGCACAGCAAAGTCCATTGGGGACGATCTCACGGCGCTCACCACAGACCATCACAAGGTTTTAATGAAACTATGGGGCCATGGGGTGTGAATTCCGGGGCAGTTCTGGTCAGGCACTTTCGTTCTACGAGATGTCACGAGACACATCTGCACGAGACACGTCTACGAAGCTTGCGTCTTGGCTTCCCATCAACCAATTCAGCTGCAAACCATTCACCAAGCAAAATAATTCCTTCATGCTCAATGACCTATCATGAACGCGGTGCCGGTTGCCATTGCTTTCACCTGCCACACTGTCTGCAGTGATTCAGGTTCCGAACCCGCTCTGAAGATTAGCCCATCAACGACGTGCCGATGGGTCTGACGGTGGACCCGGCTGGGTTGTAGACGAGCATCAAGGGAGAAGGCCGGGAGTAGAACAGGAAGTGGACATTGAAATCCACAAGCAAAACGAAACCACTGGAAAACCATCAGTATATAGATCTGATAGAATTGCTATGCTTATCCCCAACATGCTCCCATCACAAACTCTTGAACGAGGATGGTCCATCAGTATATATAGGGAACCAGCTGGTCCTTCATTCGTCGTAGACATGAAACCTGGAGAGGCTTCCGTGCTACCCAATCTCTGCAAATGTTTCTCATTTCCTTTGCTGGCTCTTCTTGGCGGGGGGGCTCCCAAACTCAAAAGACACCGTCAACACCCAACACCCAACCAGGATTCGCTGACAGAAAGCAGGGTGGGGCGGACAGTTTTATTGTAGCCCTCCACTCAGTGGATTGGACCGTTGAGTTGACCCAGGAAAGAGGCCGTCCCAAATATGTTGCACACGAGTCACCCACCAAAATTACTTGAACTGCTCATGAGAAGACAATTGAAGGGGACCCCCCCGAAGAAATCAATGACTGTATACACTGTACACACCACTGTACACCTCTTGGACTCATCCATGGTTTACATGGGTGGCGTCGGTTTGGAGTTCTTCCGGGCCATCCCACCGGAACGAGGAGTCCAACTCCACGCCCTGGGACACCGAGACCCACCATGGAACCCTGCAGTGGTTTTACCAACCGGTCGGGGTTGGTAGTGGAAGGATCCCTTCTCTTCCAGTCTGGGTCCATGCCAGGTTCCATGTGGGTCTCGAAACCCCGAGAGTGGATCCATCTTCATTTCGTTGGGGTTTTCCTCTCCGAAGAGGTTGGGCGTGCCGCTCGGCCGCAACCCGATGTGGGCTTAGGCCTCTCCATCCCACTCTCAGGCGATTGGGACTTACTTCGTGGTTTTCCTGGGCGTCATCTGGGCCGCTTTTGTGGGGTGTTCCAGTGAAGAACCGGCAGGCAAACCGAGGAGACTAGGGATCCTAGGCGTGTGCTAGAGAACCCTCAAAATTTGTCAAGTTAAACAAAATGAGCACACAACTCCAATTTATCCAATTGCTTGACGCGCCAACACCCACAAAAACATCTGCAAGCTCTTCTTGAGGGTATGCTTCTTTTCTGGCAAACGACCCAATCCATTCATTGACCGTAGGTGGTCTTCAACAGAACCTGCAGCTATCTTTAAACAGAATTTGAGCCGGTGATCTGATCAACCCGACTGTGCCAGTGATGCAGGCACGAAACCATCAGTCACATGCCTTGGCTTGATAAAGAAGAAACATCTTCGGTTCATGAAAACGTCGCGGTTAAGGTAGGACATGTGATTGAATAAGGATCAGCTGGGCCAACTACAGATTCGTTTCAGGTGTCATTTTCCATTCAATGGGCCCATTCAATAACAAGTCCAACAGTAGCAGTCAGTACTGCAACAGTTCATCAGCTCCTGACTCACCATCAGCTCAGATCGACGCCGGAGACGCCGGAGACGACGACACGATCCTGCGGAACGTTGGTCGCCCAGGCGCTGGGTTTTCAGATCGTCCAACTCCTTCTTGAGCGCCTGGGCTGCGCGGCCCGGCTCCGCTCCAGTCAACAAATCCACCCAGAATCACGTTGAGGAGCAAAAGAACTCCATTTTTGGCCCAGCACACAAGAGGCGGTGATTTGGATGGCTTGACTTCATGTTCGTGATCCCCAATCAAATGCACCACGTGACTAATTGACATATGCCAGCTTCTTCAAAGTGACCTTTTGAAGGTTCCTAAGTGACCCTTAGGAGGCTTAAGTGACCTCAAACCAGGTCATCAAAAGGTCACTTTGAAGAACCAGGTGAGTATGTGGTCGGCTCCAGATTTTGCAGACACACCCGGCTCTGAGACGCCTGGATCTCCTGCTTCTGCTCGTCGATCTTGCGCTCATCCTGGAAGCGCTGACACTCACCACAGGGGCAAAAGATGGGACATCCATTGTGGGATGCGGCCATGGTGGCCACAAGCCCCTTCCCGCGCAGAAAAAACATCATTGAATCCACCACATTCAAGCTTCTGGCACAGGGGTTGTTAGGGGTATGTAAGGGGTGGCTCGCGTTTCCATCCTTGTGCATCGAAAAAGGAACGCAGCGCCCTGGTCTGCTTGAGCTGCAACCAACTCTTGGTGTTCCAGCGAGCCTCAAACATGTACATGACGCTCACAACGAACCCTCAAAAGTAGCTGCCCTTGGCATCCCAAACCTCATCTTGGGGAAGGTTCCAGAAACTCTACGCCCATCAATCCCCACCTTTCCAAAAAGCTACTGCTCTTGAACAAGTTTTGGCCACTGTCAAGCTCCCAAAGCAACAACTCAATTCTTAACAACAACGCACTGACACCATCCATCAACAACCCCAACCTTCCTCCCAGAGCCACTACCGGTTCTCCCCTCGTCATCTCCTGCACTTGCTGGTTCTGCAGCATCTGGTCGCTGGCGGAGGGCCCCACTGGCCCCAAGGGCACCGGCACGCCCAAGCCGAAGCCGAAGGGGGAGCCGAAGCCGAAGGGGGAGCCAAAGCCGAAGGGCGAAATCACCTCAGTGAGAGAGATTGAGGTGGGTGGCAGATTTGGAGGGGCACAAGGGGAAATCTGAATCTAAACAGGAAAAGCCAAATGTTTCTAGGGTTTTCTAGTGAATGTCGCCCATTCCGTGATCGCCTCATTTGCCTGAGAACTCACGAGCCATCGACAGCATCTATAAGTCTATAAGGTCTATATGATTCTAATTGATTCTATATGGATACACTCCCGAAAACTACCATGGACCCTGAGCATGGCACCCTGAACGCCTGTTTTCCTTTGCAAACCAAATGGTGTTCAGGGTCCATGATGTCCATCTCAGCACTGAACCCTTCCCCTGCCAGCACCGGGCTCTCTCAGAGTTGATCGAACCCATCCGAGACCGGAGTCCTTCCAAAGCTCTTTCTGGAACCTTCGATGGAAGACGCGTCTGCCCAGTCGCAGGTCCTCCGATGCCCACGGAGATGTTGGGACCACCACCGATGCGGGCGGAGCTGGAGCTCCTGCCCAAGCGGCGCTGCCCCAGTGGGTGATCTCCCAAGTCAGGGCCTTGAGAATCCAATCGGTCCTAAATATGGTTGGTTGTGCCTGGTATGAAGAGTGTCTCGCCTCCTCAACGGGGTTTTTTCGGCAGAAGCAGTTGGCCTCGTTGCTGATCTCTATGGAGGCCTTCATGTGGTGATTACGTGCTGGGTTCTGAGACGATTCTCTATCATATATCTGCTTGCTCTTGGGTGCAAGCATCCAAGACACACCATTGCTGGTCTACGATCTAAGACGCCTGTCACAAAGCACCCCTCATGAAAAGCAAGACGTTGGCAATCCACGAAGGACTCTTAAAAGTGCTTCCTCGTCATATGGAACATTTTCCAGCCCACCCACTTACAGCAATTATATAACAATGTATAACACATTTGACCCTTCAACTCCACCAGAAACTTTTCATCAAACATCCATGTCCACCACCAAATGCCCCCACATATCCCGCCCTTCCCCGTACCTGGCAGTGCTGTTGGGCCTGGGCGCGGCGCGTGGCGCGGAGCCCATGCGGCTGCCGCCCATGCGACCGCCCGAGCGGGCGGCCTCGGCCGCGTCCATGGGCAGCAGCGCCAGGAGAAGCGCCAAGAGCGGCACGGCCGCGGCACGGAGGGTCCAGGAGGGTGCGGCCTCTTGCAGTTTTGGGTGGGATGGGGTAGATGGGATGGGGAGGGAGGGAGGGAGGGATGGAGGGTCAGGGTGGTAAACGGACTCTGCTTCCGAGAGTTGATAATTGTGGACTTCTTCTTGTTCCAGTGGCTAAGTGCGGGACCCTGTGGAGTTGCTGGACATGACTCGATGAGTGGTAACGTGCTGGCAGCTTCTTGGGGGTATGAGTCCATTTGGAGTTCCCCATCTGACTTCCATTGACTTGCATTGATCCCTAGGTGCTGAGATCCATATATTAAGTTCTCCATTTGGAGCTTTCCCCCTGTTTCCCCCCAGCCTCACTCTGCTCCGACTGCTTCGACTCGCTCGTCCAAGCGCCATAGCTGCTACCCTTCTCAGCGGCCAAGGCCACGGGCGAGCTCAGGCGCGCTGGGGCCGCACGGTCGGGCAGCGGCGACACGAAGAGAGGCGTGGCCACCTGGGTTTTGAGCTCGAGGACGGGGGGGTCAAAGGAGACCGCCTTTAGAAGGGAGCAAAGCGGGTGCAAAAACGTGATGATTTCCAGGACGACTGCAGCATACTTCCCTTCATTCTGCGGAGAATAGAGCAAAACGCTTCAAAGCCTTCAACCTACGAACAGCCACAAATTGTTGCTCGTTCCTGTTGCTCTACCCGCTTGTGGGCACCAATATACTTGGAATGCTCCTGGACTCCAATCATCCAACTGGCCAAAGCGATGCTGAAACGACTGAAACGTGACTCCAAGAACATGACCATCCTCGCCTCGCGGCTCTAGCGTTCCTCTCAGCTATTTCTGAAGTGAGTCATGGTGGGTGTGACAGCTTGACTCGCGTAGATAAGAAGAATTGCCAAGTCACCAAGGCCAAGGCAGTGGCTGCGCAAACGAAGGCAATGAGCCGTGCCATGGCCAAAAACCAGCGACGATTTCGACAGGATTTGGAGGAAGGGCACAGCCGGGAACAGCTGCCGGAAGCGACTCTCTCTCTCTCTCTACCTCTCTCTGATCACGTGTGCTTTTGGACAAGATTGCTCCCTAGCCGAAGCTCAGATAAACAAGTGAATTCCCTTGACACAAATTAATTACAAATAAATATTATATAAGTGTATCCGTGTGGGCACCGCTCGAAATCCATACCTTCGTTGATTGGGACAGAAGCACCCTTGGAGGTTGAGGGTCTGAAAGCAAGCATGGGGCCGAGAGCTTGTTCAGCTGGAACTGTTGGTTGTTTCCAAGTGGAGACCCATCGAGTCCCTCATCTTCCGTGTGGCCACAGGGTCAAGCAAGAACAAACAAGATGGACAAGAAGAGACCTGATCCCCCAAAATCCCTTGAACGAAACCCAAGGCTCAGTCCGTTTGAACTAGGTTATTACAGCTCTTGGTAATGATTGAATACGTACTTTTTGAACCCAGATCCACTGACCAGCCGAGGCTCAACCAAACTGGACATTGAAAAGGGCATGAGGCGTTCGGGCAATGTTAGCTATTCTTTAGCATGGGCATCAATAACGCACGCGATTGGCATCCTCAAAACCTTCCAGACTCATCTGACCCATGTCGCAAGTTCATGTGCACCATTGGCTGTGGCAAAACGATGCGTGGCTGCTTAACCTCACGTGTTCGTCTCGCCTTCTGACGCCAAAGGCGCAGGTTTGCCATCGGCGGCTGTACAGGGCTGTGGCAGGTCTAGGGCCGCCTTTGGTCAGCGGTCCGGGCCGAAACAGGAATGCCACTAGGTCTCGTGACAAAGACCCCGGTGGGGTGGCACAAAGTACTTGGGAACTGAGTGGAGGCTGGCACATTGCGGTGGTTCCAAGTCCATGGCTCAATGGAGAGGAGGTTTCCCTCCCTGATCTGCAGCCATTTCAGAAGCCTTGGCTTTTGAAGGCTCAGAGCTTCTCCTGACCCTATGGCATGGAACCATCCAAAACTGTCCAAAAGGCTCCGCTGTGCCGGTTGAACCACCTGAGGGGATTTGAGCTTTTCGGGCTGCCACATCACCAAAAAAATGCAAACAACATCTCTTTCTACACTTTGTGGCAGGACTATGCTGGTCTCATGGTGGCGCTGGGAAAACATGTGAGAACCTTCTTGCAGGCCCGGTCAGCACGGGCGCCGGGAGGAAAAAACGATGGAAAGCAAAGGAAGAGAACTGCAAGCTGGCTACCTGGAATTTTTGACGAATGCAGCTGCAAAAGCCAACCAACAAAGGAACTCTCGATCTCGCCCGCTTCGCTCAACTCCCCTCAGATCTGGCCAGCGGGTCCACAAGCATGGAAGGCATCGGGTCGCCAGTGACTTCAACGCACGTGATTGGTGGTCCCCATAATAAAGGTGGCAAAATGAAGTGTGCTCGTCCCAACAAAGCCATATACGGTATCTTCCAACTCGGACTCTGAAAATGCCTAAGGTAGTTCTCACAAGCAGTGACTTGCAAACCTGTTCACCCATTTCCAGCACCAAAGGACCAAATTGAACCTGCATGACTTCCAAGTCCAACTTTACCCCCGCACACGCACGGGGATTCCACGCCGAATAAGGGCATTCCAACCATTTCAGCTGCAAACCATTCACCAACCAAAACAATTCGTTCATGCTCAACAACCGATCATGAACACGGTATTTCGGCGCCGGTTGCCATTGCTTTCACCTGCCACACTGTCTGCAGTGATTCAGGTTCCGAACCCGCTCTGAAGATTAGCCCATCAACGACGTGCTGATGGGACGGTGGACCCGGCTGATGGATCGAAAAGAAGCAAGAAGGCCAAGAAGGAAACAGCCCCACTTCTATGACATCAAGTTTTACCCTCCTCAAGTAGGATCAGTAGGCAAAGTAGGCAAGAACGGATGGGGAAAACCCGCTAATTACAGATCAGCCACAGGAACTCAACCAAATGAGTCAATGAGAGATTTATGGTTTGCTGGTCCCCTTGCCACCCAAGTATTCAATCTACTTCATACAGGTTATGTTCAAGAAATCAAGTAACCAACATATCGGCACCAGGTCAGGGACCTGATACCCATGGCCAAACTCGTCACCAACTTACAGTCTGATCAGTCGACAGATTCTTCCACCACCCTCCTAACACGGAGCACCTTTCGCCAGGCATGCTAGGGCCCAAAAGAAGTGCACAGAAGGTTCCGACTCCAGAACTTGAAACACACCCTTATCATTTAGAGCCAGCATGTTGAGCGCAGAGAAACGCAAAGACCCTCAACTTTTAGCACAGAAGAAACGAGGTACAATGCATTGTGCACACTGCCCACTGGGCCTACTTCGCATATACAGTACTTGCAGGGTACAAAGGCGCTGCACCTCAAAAGCCTTTGGTTGACAGGGACGCCACACCAGATCGTCCCACTTGGCCCTCTGCGGAGATCCGCTGATGCCACTCTCAAGCCATCTACTTCGTGGCCTTCCTGGGCAAAAACGCGGGGGACGTGATGCCCCAAGTGGTGCCTTCTGGGGGTCTATCTTTCTTTCGCACACCACAGCGCATGACAACCAGTGCTTCGGCCCCGTTTTGATGGGCTGGTATAATTTTGGTAGATATCTTCAACAAAACATGGTTGGTTTGTTCTTCACGGAAGGCCAACTGTTGAGACCCAAAATGGAGCCTTTCCCTTCTTATCCCATCTCACCCGCACATGCGGCCAAGTGAATTCGCCAAGCAGCTGGGACTTCAACTCGTCCAACTCCTTCTTGAGCGCCTCGCCACGCTGCGAAATTCCCCAGAAACGCGTGCTGAGTCGATTTCCCCTTGGTCCATCTGAAGTATATGTCTGTGATGGTCTGCGTTTTGAACGCGGGACTTTAAGCAAATCTTGCCACTTGGTTGATCCGGCTCTCCAAGTCCACGTCACCATGTTGAGATCCTCCAGGTCACCTATAGGGCATTAGCCCCCACAACTGTACAGAGAAGATCGGCCAGTTGGTCGCCTCCCGACTTCCTTGATCAAGCACTCTTTTTCCAGCCACAAAAGATCACAGCTCCTGGCATGCCCCTTGGATGGATGGCCCTCCTGCCATTTTTCCAGCCACATGACAGATCCTGGCATGCCCTGCATGCCCCTTGGATGGATGTTCAAGGCCCCAAGGCCGTCCTGGATTCGAAGCCCTCGAATTTGCAACCAAAAGCCCTTCGTGCCTGGATCTCCTGCTTCTGCTCGTCGATCTTGCGCTCATCCTAGTGGCGGGGCAGTGACTGCGCGCGACGGCTAGGAAAATGCACCCCAAGTCACCGGAAGAACTATTGTGGAAACCCATGGAAACCGGGTTAGAAGTGCAAAAGGCTTCAAAGTACGACAGAAGTGCCCTTGTATGCTTGCGATGCTCTTTCTGGTGCTGCTTCAGAAGCTTAAGCCAACAATCCCCGCCACTGGCTAACCATGATTCCATGTGATTTCCGAACAATAGACCTTTGAGCCTTTGGCCACTAGAGAGTCTCCAAAACAATACACCGCAACAAAGTTGAAGACGTGCAAATAAATCCAAGCCATAACGTGCCATGATGTGGCATAGTCTTACACCCGTGACCGGTTCTCCCCTCGTCTCCTGCACTTGCTGGTTCTGCAGCATCTGGTCGCTGGCGGAGGGTCCCACTGGCCCCAAGGGCACCGGCACACCCAAGCCGAAGCCGAAGGGCGAGCCGAAGCCGAAGGGGGAACCAAAGCCGAAGGGTGAAATCACCTCAGTGAGAGAGATTGAGGTGGGTGGCAGATTTGGAGGGAGAACATGTTGAAACTCGTTGAAGGCTCTTGGAGTTGGAGGATGGGGGAGGATAGGGGAGGAGGTAATTCCTAACTGCACGGGAAGGTTTTCGACAAGAGCTTTTCGTTGGAGCTCGTGGACTCGGCACTGACTTGCACAATGCATGGTCTTGTTCGGCTGCCCAGTCGCAGGTCCTCCAATGCCCACAGAGATGTTGGGA